TCACTTTCTGTATCTCTGTTTCTCTCTTTCTGGCAAGTGCACACCCCTATAGCAAAAATTTCTCTTAAAAAATAAAGAGAAAAGAAAAGAAACGAAAAGAAAAGAAAAGAAAAGAAAAGATCACACCAGATGTACCCAAAATCCCACAGGAAGGAGAAACAGAGAATGGACTACGGCAAGACCGTGTCCTATTGATGGGTTGCTTTCTCCCTGTGCCTGCTGTCCCTCTTTCTCTCTCTCTTTCTCTCTTTCTGGTGAGCATACATGCCCTTTGTCAAAAATAAATTGTGTGTGTGCATGTATGTGTGTGTGTGTGTGTGTGTATATATATACACACATGCATATATTTATACATACGCACATATATTTTATATTTTATATATGTATGTTTATGCATATGTATACATATATAAATGTTTCATTAGGGTGATCTCTGTTATATGTTAGGGTGGTCCTGATCATGGCCTGTGAAAGAATTCACAAACTCAGAGATAAAAGAAAACAGAAAAGAATTTATTCACTTTCTAAGTTGTTTTTTTTTTTTTTTTTTAAGAGAGATTGTTGCTATAGGGCACACGTGTTCACTAAAATGACACGGAGAGAAAGAGACAGAAAGCAAGCTATCACACCCCCCACCCCAGGGGGGAGTGGGGATGGCCACGCCACAATCCCTTGGACTCCATTCTCCTCTCAGGATTTTGGGTATGCATGCATACACGCTGGGTGTGAGTTTAAGCCACTGCATCTGTGGGACTCAATCATGGTCAACTACGTGGCAGTCCAGTGATAAAACCATTATACCATCTCCTGGTCCCATTAATTTATTCACTTTCAAACAGCAGAAAGGGGCCAGATGTTGAGAGTTTCATTGACCCTGGAGAGCAGGGGCCAAGAACTTTTTTATTTTTTTGGAGAGATTTTCGCTATAGGACGCATGTGCTCGCCAGACAGACAGAGAGAGACATAGAGACAGAAAGCGAGAAATCACCCCCCAGGGGGGGATGGTCACGCCGCAATCCCTTCTCCATTCTCCTCTCGGGATCTTGGGCACACATGCACACGCGCCCAGCATGAGTTTTCAGCCACCGGGTCCAGGACGCAAACCGCGGTCGACTACGTGGGAGTCCGGTGACATAGCCATTACGCTAACTGCTGGTTCCCAAGAACTTTTTTTTATTTATTTATTTGTAAAGGTTTCTGCCATAGGGTGTGTGCACTCACCACAGAGACAGTGAGAGGGAGAGAGAGAAATCTCCCCTGGGGGATGGCCATGCCACAATCCCTTCTCTGCCATTCTCTTCCCAGGATTTTGGGTGCACGCACATGTGCGCAGCATGAGTTTCTAGCCTCCAGGTCCCCGACTTGAACCTCAATTGGCCATGTGGGAGTCCAGTGCTTTAACCACCATGTTCCCTGCTGGTCCCCAGGAGCATTTATTGACTTTTAATGATGATGGCTTTATGATTGGTTAATTAGGATGATTCTTGGAAAGATACCTGTTGATATTTCACAATCTCTGGACTATTTAATTGCTGTCTCTGTCATATCTGACCACGTTGATCTGCCATATATTTGGAGGTTTATTTTTGTTTCAGTGCCAGAAGAGAGTGGCTTTAATCTCCATATATGAAGGTAGAAACTTAGGAAAGCAGAAGTTAGTCATCTGTGATAAGGTTAGGGAGGGATCAGCTAGCCCAGGAAGAAAAAGAGGGAGGAGGAGAATGTTTGAAGCACCTGGAAATTTTAATGAGCCTTCCGCCTTAAGACATCAATGACATTGAATCAACCAGGTATCAAGGAGACACTGAGACCTCGAGTTAACTCTTTCCAATGCCTTAAGGTGCTTGGGTGACTTTTAACTCTTTTATATATGGTAGTCTCAATTCTATGGATGGAAGGTGTCTCCCAAAATGACCATGTGAGTAAATTGTATTAGATTAAGCATGTACTGTTAGAGTACATGTGGTTTAGAGTCATGTATTCATGTATCTAATGTGACCTTGAGCAAATTAATTACCCTGAACCACTTTCTATAATTGGTAAAATTGGGAAGAATAGCTATCTAAAAGAGTGTTATAAGGAATGGGGCCGGCAGGGAACATGGTGGTTAAAGTGTTGGATTCCTACATGTCCAACCACAGGTAGAGTCCTAGACATGGTGGCTGAAAGTCATGCCAGATGTGTGTGAGTGTGGGTGGGTGTGGGTGTGCGTGTCTCTAAAATCTCAGGAGGAGAATAGAAAAGGGATTGTGCCGTGGCCATCCCCCTGAGGGGTGATTTCTCATTTTCCCTTTCTCTTTCTTTCTCTCTCCAGTGGGCTCATGTGCCCTATGGGGAAAATCTTTTTTTTTTTTTAAAGAGTGTTATAAGGAATAAACTACTATACATGCTATCAACTAGTGCTTAGTATGCTTTTACTGTTTAATTCCCTGCTTATCTGCCTGAACATTTTCAATAGGTAAACTTGGATGTCCTATTTCCCCACTAGTTAGCACTCGTTCATCTGAATCTATTGCCATTACAGGAAATATATTTTTAAAAAGCTGGTAAATACTGCAGGAAGTGTTAAAACTTGATTTTAGGTAAAATGAGAAAGGTTTGTTTTGTACTGTGAAAAAAATCACATGCGTGTAAACATAAACAAAAAAAAAAAGTATTGGCATTTTATTTATATTTCTAAAACATTCTGACACTTATATTTTTCAAGGACACAGAGATTGCAAAGAGAAGCCATAAAGCTAAAAGTATTTCTAACACATAAACAAAACACTCATCTATAATATATAAAGATTTCCTATAAATTTATAAAAATAAAAAGATAAATACAATATAAAAATTGGTAGACTTCAATAATCACTTCACAAAATGAATGTCACGTTACTAAAAAAACAAGGAAGATGCCCAATTTTATTAATAGTCAAGAGAAACATTAAAATCACAGAAACAGGGGACTAGCAGGTGGCGTAATGGCTATGTCATTAGACTCCCACATAGTTGACCAAAGTTCAAGTCCCAGACCCAGTGGCTTAAATCTCACGCCGGGCGCGTGTGCGTGCGTGCCCAAGATCCCGAGAGGAGAATGGAGGAGAAGAGATTGTGATGTGGCCATCCCCTCTGGGAGGGTGATTTCTCACTTTCTGTCTCTCTCTGTCTGTCTGGCAATTGTGTGCCCTTTTTAGCAAAAACCTCTCGGGAACCAGCAGTTAGCGTAATGGCTATGTCGCTGGACTCCCACGTAGTCGACCGCGGTTCGTGTCCCGGACCCAGTGGCTTAAATCTCACGCCGGGCGCGTGTGCGTGCGTGCCCAAGATCCCGAGAGGAGAATGGAGGAGAAGGGATTGCGGCGTGACCATTCCCCCTGGGGGGTGATTTCTCGCTTTCTGTCTCTATGTCTCTCTCTGTCTGTCTGGCGAGCGCACGCGCCCTACAGTGAAAATCTCTCCAAAAAAAGGAAAAAAAAAAAAAAAAAGAAAAAAAAAAAAAACTTAAAAAAAAAAAAAAATTACAGAAATGGGCCCAGCCAATGGCATTGTGGTTAAGGCAACTAAATCCCTCTGGCTAACTGTGCAGTTTGAGTCCCATGGGTTTGAAAAACAGGCCAAATGTGTATGTGTGCTTGCCCAAAATCCCTAAAGGAGGGAGAGATAGAGGAGAAGGGATTGCTGCATGACCATCCCCCTTGGGGGTGCTTTCTCATTTCCTCTTCTGTCTGTGTCTTTGTCTTTCTCCAGCAAGCACACATGCTGCCCTCTGGCAAATTAGAAAATAAAAAATAAAAAATCATAGATCCATTATACACACAGATGATTGCTAAAAATGTGTAAGTCTGATACTACCAAGGATTGACAAGATTCTCACAACAGGACACTGCTGTGGGAAAATAAATTGGTACAACCTCTTTGGAAGTGAGTAATTAAGTCAAAGGAAATCTCTGGGTCCTGGGATTTCCACTCTGAAGTACATATCCTAGGGAAAATCATACATTATATGACAGTATCTTTTATACAAGAATATTATGTTTATAACTGCTGGAAACTAGAGACAACACAAATGTTATCAGCTAGAGAATAGATAACCAAACAAAGATGTTTCCACATAGTGAAACACCATAAAAGAACAAAAATAAAAGCACTGCTACAGTCTCATACACCAAAAGACCATGGGGACTGGCAGGTGGCATGGTGGTTAAGGATGCTGTACTCCTACATGGCTGACCGTGGTTCGATTCCCGGACCTGATGACTTGGTTTCTCACTTCCCTCCACCCCCTGTCTCACTATGTCTCTCTCTCTGGTCAAATTAAAATTAATTAATTCACTAATGTTCAGTAAAATAATTTTTCAAAAGAATGCATATGGTACAGTTTTATTTAGAGAAAATACAAAGCCGGACAAACTAAAGGATATTGTGTAAGAATGCATACTTGAGGGACAAACCATAAAGGCAAATAAGACATTGAGTTAGAATCCTGGTACCCCTCTGATGAGAAGAGAGGAGGCTGCTGGGACTGTTCCTCCACGAGGATGATAGTTACTTGTTTATTTGCTTTGTATTTATCCATGCAGCTGTACTTTTATGTTTCGTGTGCTTTCCTGCATTTTTTTAAATAATTATTTTATTTATTTGTTTGTTTGTTTATTGATTTATTTTGACCAGAGAGGGACAGAGTGAAGGGGGTTAAAGTGAGAAAGCAAGCTGCCAGGTCCAGGACTCAAACCGCAGTCCACCGTGTGGGAGTCCAGCGCCCTTAACCACCATGCCACCTGCCAGCCCCTGCATGTATTTTATTTTCCAATAGGATGGTTAAAAAGTACACACTGGTTTCGGTGTTGAAAATGGGTTATGCACGGCAAAAGTGTAAATAAGGAAACGGTAATGGAGGTGAGAGATAATTACAGAGGCTCGGAGCAGCACCATGGTCTTAGATTCAGAGAAAACTAGAGTGAACCAGGAGTAACAGGACTTGCTAATGGATCATTTCCTCTTGTTCTTTGTAATAGTTCATAAACCAGAAAAGGTCACATGGACAGAAGCAGCTGGGACCATTCGGGATGGAGTACGATGCTATACAGCTCTGCATTATCTTTCTCATCTCTCTCCTGGAAAATCGGTGCTGATAATGGATGGAGCGAGTGTAGGTGCTAATGACCATTTGCTAATATAATTTATTGCCAGTAGATTGTTCACTGATTCCTTTCCAACCTTCTATTTTGTTTAAATAAGCAGCTTTTATCAATGAGAGACAAAAGTTAATTTAGTGTGATAAGTTTATTACTTTGAATTTGTTGGTACATTGAAAGACAGACAAGCCATCTTTATTTATTCTTATTAAAGCCTGAAATAGCTCATGAATCTTTGAAGTCATACTCCAAAACTTCCTACCAGTTTTGTATCCTACACCTCACATGTAGACTTGTAAACTATTGGCTTTTTGTAGATGGATCACACATAAAAACAAAATGTACTAATTTACACATATTACCATAAAAAAGTACTTCAAGACACTAAACAAATACATAAAAATATCATCTAAAAATGTTACAAAACTTAGCATGGATTTGTAGTTTTATATCTGGCTATTGAGTAAAATGCTTTTTCCTTTGCTTTTCTTTGAATACCACCAAAAAAAAAAAAGGACAAAACTCTTCAGCATTGGCTTCAGCCTAATGACTACACCAGGACTGTAGTGTTCCCCCAAACTTATCGGGTGGGTCCAAAAAAGGATGAAGCTTTGAAGTGCTTTTGATCTTGAAAGAGAGGTAGCTAGACATCCATGTATGCATATAGTTAGCTTAGACTGGGGTCAGCTCTGTGACCTGGTGGTTAAGGCAGCCAGATCCCACATCGTCAACCCCACACTTCAAGTTCTATACCCAGCAGCTTAAAAATGTGCCAGGCATATGTGTATGCATGCCCCAAATCCTGACAAGATGAAGAAATAAAGAAAAAAATTGCACCTTGACCATTCCCCTTAGGGGGTAATTTCTCTCCCTCTCTCTGACAAGTGACCTCTAGCAAAATTTGTTTTTCAGTTAGCTTACATCATCTTGCTGACAAGACCCATTTTTCTCTTCCCAAGGCCATGTTTCTGAATGTGGCCCTCTCCATCCTTAAAATTATGTGCTGTTGTCAGAATGGGAAAGAGCGGGACCAGCAGTTAGTGTAATGGCTTAGTCGCTGAACTCCCATATAGTTGATTGCGGTTCGAGTCCCGGACCCGGTGGCTTAAACTCACACTGGGCACATGTGCATGCATGCCCAAGATCCTGAGAAGAGAATGGAGGAGAAGGGATTGCAGCGAGGCCATCCCCCCTGGGGGATGATTTCTCTCTTTCTATCTCTCTGTCTCTCTCTCTCTTTCTGGCAAGCACATGTGCCCTATAGCAAAAACCTCTCAAAAAAAAAAAAAAAGAATAGGAAAGAGCATGTGACATACATACTTTTTCAACCACCTGTTCAAAAGAAGAAAGACAGTCAAATATCTGACCTACTAAACTTGGCTATATATATTTTTTTATCTTTTCCTATTAGATAACATTTTAAAACATACAAAAGTAACAGAAGAATTTCACGTTATTGAACAGTCTGTAAAATGCAGTAGCTATGACTTCTACCCTGTATCTATAAACCCATTGTCTGTTTTGTCCTCACAGGCCTTTGGCACAATAGCTATTCAGTTAGCTCACCATCGAGGAGCCAAAGTGATTTCAACAGCTCACAGCCTGGAAGACAAGCAGTGCCTTGAGAGACTCAGGCCTCCTGTAGGTGGGTCATATTCTCAGCACAGACTCTAAAATATGACATTTTGAAGGAAAATCACCTGAAAAGGTTCACTCATGTAACAAAGTATAAAATCTTATGTGAACTTTTTTTGTTTAGAGACAGATTTTTGCCTTAGTGAGCTTGCACTCACCAGAGAGACAGAGAGACAGAAAGTGAGAAATTGCCCCCCAGTGTGATGGCCATGCTGTGATCCCTTCTCCTTCATTCTTCTCTCAGATTTTTGGTCATACACATACATACACACCCAGTGTGAGTTTCAAGCAGCCAGGTCCAGGACTCAAACCACTGTCTGCCACATGGGAGTCCAGTGCCTTAAATACTATGCCACCTGCTGACCCCCACCCCCCTGTGAAAGTTTTAAAATATACTTAGTGTCTGTGCTAAGTCTGGATTTACTTAAGTGATAGTTTTTATTTTATTTTATTTTTAAAATCTACTTCTTTCAGTGTTTTTTTTTTTTCTTTGTCCCATTGTTATCAACCAAGTTTGAATTAGATGAACTTTGACACAATTTAGAAATCCCTGATACTGGGCCTAGCAGGTGGTGTAGTGCTTAAGGCATTGGACTCCCACATGGCCAACTGCAGTTCAACTCCTGGACATGGAGACTTGAAAACTCATGTTGGACACATGTGCGTGCATGTCCAAAATCCTTAGAGGAGAATGGAGAAGGGAATACAACCTGGCCATCTCCCTTTGGGGGTAATTTCTCACTTTCTCTCTTACTGTTTCTTCCTCTCTCTGTCTCTCCAGCAAGCACACATGTCCTATGGCAAAAACCTTCAAAAAAAAAAAAAAGGAAATTCCTAATAATTATGTAATTATATTAGTCAGTAAGTCAGTATATTTTTGGATCACTTTGTACATTTCTCAACGTCTTTGGCCCCATGAAATAGCTCTGAAGTTGTCTATTTTCTTTGATATGTGCGTGCGTGTGAGGGGGGTGATCCATTTACACTGAAACACAGATCATATTTTGTTTATGAACAAGACATGGTGTAGACATGAGCACTTGGAAGGATTGAACCTATCCAGACAGTAATGGATATGGAAAAGGAGAAGAAAATAGAGACTAAAAAATGGAAATGTAGAGAAGAAAGATAGAAACAGAAGAATAACAGATGAAGAACAATGAGTATAGGCAGATTGTAAGTTTAGGGGTGGCAGGAAGAAAAGTTCATTGAGTGTTTATGTGAATTCTCCCTCTTCCAAGTCCTTAGCACCCCTGTGTTGCCCAACCAGGACATAGCACCTCAGAGAATTTAACTAGCTTGTCTAAGAATGTAAAGCTAGAAAAAAGATTAGAATGGGTTTTGAACCTGTCTAACATTAACGCTCATGTTATTTTCATTTTTACATTATACTCCTGGCAGAGATAACCAAGAACTATTGGGTCATCAGGAAAGTCATGACGCATTTTTACACACACACACACACACATAAAGAAACAAACAAAAAACAGAACAATACATCATGACTTTGCCAATGACCTAATAGAAAGGTAATACAGGAGGAGCTGGATAAATATGGATGTAGACGGGGAGAAAGAATGGATCTGAAAATAGAACAGAAAAAAAAGAGAGAGAGAGAGAGTATTGATTAACTCTGTCCTTCCTAGATTGTTGTACTCTCCTTTCCCTGGTGTCTTCTCCTCCCTCTCCTTCCTCTCCTCCTAGATTCCCATTGGGTACACCTCTAATATGAGCATCTCTAAGGAATTCTTCAACAAGAAGATGGTAAAAGATCCAAAAAGGAGGGACCAGCAGTTAATGTAACGGCTATGTTGCTGGACTCCCATGTAGTTGATCGCAGTTTGAGTCCCAGACCCGGTGGCTTAAACTCACACCAGGCGCGTGTGCATGCGTGCCCAAGATCCTGAGAGGAGAGTGGAGGAGAAGGGATTGTGGCGTGGCCATCCCCCTGGGGGGTGATTTCTCACTTTCTGTCTCTGTCTTTCTGGCAAGCGCACATGCCCTATAGCAAAAACTTCTCAAAAAAAAAAAATTCTGAGAATTTTTAAATTTTTTATAATTAGTTATAGTTTTCTTAATATAATACTTTAAAGTGACTATTTAAAATTAGTCTAAATTTACTAATTGGGCTAAATTACTAATTATAACCATGTTACTTTTCCTTACCTTCAGAATTTTTCTTTGTTTTGGGAAAAGGGGCGGGGAGGGAGGAATGATAAGACTGAATAAAGGTAAAATAACCTAGAGTAGATAAATACCATATTGCACAATATACTTTGTACTTTTTAACTCTGTACTCTTACATTTGAACAGACTTGAGAAATGTTTTTATCTTTCAGTCCATATCTTAATATATGTATATATATGTACTTCTGTTTTCAGATTCTCAGGTTTGGCAGGAAATCTAGTTTTCAGAGAGCGGTGTTCTATATCAGCAGACCAGCTTTGACCACCTTATCCACAAAAATGCTTATGTTTTGATTTCATTAAATATACCAGTCTCTTTATTTAGATAGATTCTTATCAACATAGAGTTAGATGGGTAAAAGATGGTTTGAATTTACTTTTTTCCCTTTAAAGTTATTGTTTCAGCTGCTTAAGTCTTTCAGAAAACAGATATTTATTTGCTTTTCTTTTTCTTATTCCCTGATTTGTTTGTGTGGATTATATAGAAAACAGTACATTTGCCTGATTTCCTGTCCTTTGCAGCCCGAATAATTGATGTATCCAATGGGAAAGTCCATGTTGCTGAAAGCTGTTTGGAAGAAACAGGTGGCCTAGGAGTCGATATTGTCCTAGATGCTGGAGGTGGGTACCAAATAAAATCATTAGCCTGTGAAATTTTTGTTTAATAAATTTCAAAAGAAATAAAACTGGGAATAATTATTCATTTCTAAATTGAATGTTATGTTTGAGGGGGTTTTTTGTTTGTTTTTTTGCTATAGGACATGTGTGCTCTCCAGAGAGAAAGAAAATGAGAAATCACCCCATACCACAATCCCTTCCTCTCCATTTTCTTAAGATTTTGGGCACGCACTCATGCACATGTGCCTGGTGTGAGTTTTAAGCTGCTGGGTCCAAGACTCAAACCACAGTCAACAGCATGAGAGTCCAGTGACATAAACATTATGTCATCTGCTGGTCCCTGTTTGGGATTTTGTTTTTAACTAAAGACTTGTCTGTTTAAGTTGGAGCTTCCTCACTAATGCATATTGCAAGCATTATCTCCCTGGCAGAGAGAACATGCTTGCCTCTTAAAGCACAGGCATTGAGGACAGCCAGTGGCATGAAGGTTAAGGTAGCTGTACCCCATATAGACGACTCTGTGGTTCAAGTTCTAGGCCTGGCAGCTTGGAAAACACACCAAGCATATGTGCATGTGTGCCTGAAATCCCAAGAGGAGAACAGAGAAGGGATTGAGGTGTGGCCATTTGTCCTGGGTGAAAGGGGTGTTTTCTCTCTTCTCTCTCCCCCTCTTTGTCTGGCAAGCACACACACCCTATAGCAAATTAAAAACAACTTCAACAACAACAACAACAAACTGTAGGAGTTTAAGTTTAAGTATCAAATGACATTCTCTACAAGAATCCTATAAGCCTACGGGAACACATGCTTTTGCCCAGATACTTATGTGTGGCTGCCCGCTATTGGCTGGTTAATTCCTGCAGTGTCTACTTGGAAAATATACAGACGTTTGTTCCATCTTGACTTTGCTTGAACTTTTTTGGTTTAAACAGTGCTTACTTAATACCTGATCTGTACATACTTAGGTATACTTAATCTATACATACTTAGGTATCATCACTGCTAAAGGATGGGTTTTACAACCTACAAAGTACTTCTTTTTATACTTCATTAGAATTGTTTTTATATAATGAAAACCATAGAAAGATACAGCCATGGGCATGGTGTGTGTTTCTTTTTAATCAGTATTTTCAAGATTTGAAATTAACTCAAAGAGAACTCTTCCGGTAGATATGAATATATACTTCACTGATGTGATTTTTTTTTTCTCTAATGGACATTCATATGTCAATATGTGGTATTTTGTGGACCACCAGGTGGTGTGGGGGTTAAGGCGCTGGGACCCACATGGTCCACTCTGCCATTTGAGTCCCGCACCCAATAGCATAAACATGTCAAGTGCATGTGTGTGCATGCATGCATGCCCCAGATCCTATGGAGGAGAAGAGATTGTGGCATGGCCATTCCCCCAGAGGACTATTTCTCACTTTCCTTTTCTCTCCGTCTCTCTCTTTCTCCAAAGAGTACACACACCCTATAGCAAAAATCTTAAAAATAATTAGAATAAGTTAACTCTTGAATCTATGTTTTAAAATTAGAGATCAACCCATCCCAATGTATTAAGCTGTCATTGTTATGACTAAAATTTATATCAGTTAGTTATATATTATGTTACCTTACTGGGTTTTCAAATGAGAATAAACTTTTGCCTTTATTTCACTTATAAGTATACATAGAGTAAATTTTATAATCAGTTTCTTAAATGCAAAAAGTATATTTTAAGGTATCTAAATACACTGTGCTGCCTTTATTCTAAGAAAAAATGCTTCTTCATTCCAATATTAAAAAGTAATAAGAACTTGAATAAATTTTTGTCAAATTACTATAAAAATATTTCTTTTCTCTCTCTCTTTTAAACTATTTCCTTGTAAGTGAGATTATATAGTAAAGATGATGAACCAGCTGTAAAATTACAACTCCTGCCACATAAACATGATATCATCACACTTCTTGGTGTTGGAGGCCATTGGGTAACAACAGAAGAAAACCTGCAGGTATTATAAAAAATAGGAAAGCCTTACCGTTACACAGAAGAGATATAATTAACACGAAATAATGCAGAAATATTTTCTGAGACAAGTTATGGTCAAGTTGGTTTAAATTCTGAATTATGCCCTATGTTTAAAGAAATGTAGCTTTTGGGGGCCAGCCAGTGGCATGGTTTTTAAGGTGCTAGAATCCCACATGGCGAACCATGCAATTTGAGTCACAGACCCATTGGCTTGAGGAACACTCTGGGCATGTGTGTATGCATGTCCAGGGTCCCAAGAGGAGAATAGAGGAGAGGGGATTGTGGAGTAGCCATCCCCTCTGGGAGGGTGCTTTTTTGCTCTCCATCCCCACCACAAGTACACATGACCTACAGCAAAATTAGAATCCACACATACCAGGACCTGCAGATGGCATAATGGCTACGTCGCTGGACTCCCATGTAGTCGACCATGGTTTGAGTCCCAGACCTGGTGGCTTAAACTCACTCCAGGCGCATATGCGTGCCTGCCCAAGATCCTGAGAGGAGAATGGAGGAGAAGGGATTGCGGTGTGACCATCCCCCCCTGGGGGGTGATTTCTCGCTTTCTGTCTCTCTGTCTGTCTCTGTCTTTCTGGCAAGCACACACGCCCTATAGCAAAAACCTCTCCAAAAAATATATATACATACCAAAAAAAGGAAATGTAACTTTTTAAAAAAATTTAGCTACTTATTGACCAAAATGTTAAAATACTAACTACTAGAGGGGTTCGATCAACTAAAATGAATTATAGTTTTATGTAATAACTTGAAAGTAGTGACTTTTAGATACTATCATGGTATTTCAAATAGCTTTTTATCCTTAGTAACAATTATGTTGACATGCACTTAGCAAAGTACTTCTGTATAAAATTATCCCAATTTCCTAATTACTCAAGTTGGAGTATGTATGTATATATGTGTGTATATGTTGTTTCCTAAAGTTTTATTTTTCAATAGAATTCTAATTATACTATTGCTAATACACAAATACCACAATTCTCATACATCAATCTTCATTGATTTTTCAGCATCTTCATGAAGGTGGCTGATAAAAAGTGGCCAGAACTCACCACCTTTCCACCACACTCCCCTGTAAACTTCATCACCACAATTCTAGATTGGTCCTGCATCTGCCCTATACTTATCACCTTGCTGTCCCAGCATTTGGGACCATGAAATAGAAAAGAAAACATTTTAGTTTGCATGCTATTATAAAGTGTATATGCTGATTTTTTGTGATTTAGATATTATTTAATTTGTATAGAAGTTTTCCTGGCTCCAGATGCCAATCATTGTTGTATTGTTACATTTCCAGTAATTGATCAGTTTTTATTTATTTTATCCAAGTTGGATCCTCCAGATAGCCATTGCCTTTTCCTCAAGGGAGCAACGGTGGCTTTCCTGAATGATGAAATTTGGAATTTGTCAAATGTACAACAGGGAAAGTATCTTTATATCCTTTTTTTCCTACTGTCTCAAGTTTCTGGTTTGAAATTTACCTTGTTCTCTTGTCATAAATTCTTTCATGTTTATTGTAAGAAATAATAATAGTAACAGTTAACTGTCATTGAATATGCCAAACAGTTTTCCAGGTTGCTTGCACTTATTAATTTATTTAAACAGTAAAACAACCCTATGATGCCCAAGGACACAGTTAGCAAGTGGCAGAACAAGAAGCACCGGGTTTGGGGGGGGGCGGGTAGCAAATGGCATGGTAGTTAAGGGTACTAGACTCCCTTATGGCCAACCGCAGTTGGTGTCCCAGACCAGGTGGCTTGCTTTCTCAGTTTCTCTCTCTCTCATTCTCTGCTCAAATTAAAATAAATAAATAAATAAAGTTAAATTTTTGAAAAAGGGACCAGCAGTTGGCGTAATGGCTATGTTGCTAGACTCCAATGTAGTTGACCGCAGTTCAAGTCCCAGACCTGGTGGCTTAAACTCGTGCCAGGTGCGTATGCGTTCATGCCCAAGATCCCGAGAAGAGAGTGGAGGAGAAGGGATTGCGGCGGGCCATATCCCCTGGGGGGTGATTTCTCGCTTTCTGTCTGTCTCTGTCTTTCTGGCGAGCACACATGCCCTATAGCAAAAACCTCTACAAAAAAAACTTTTTAAAATAATTATTAAAAAGAAGAAAAAGAAGAGGGAGCACCCAGCCAGTCTCATTTCTTTCTGAGTAGATGAACCAGAAGATTTTGTTTTTAACCTGATGTTACTATACATTACCTAGAGAGGCTATATGGTTACTGCTATAATAGTGTCATTGAACAAAACATTTCAGACTACTGATCTAAATTAAACCATTTGTGGGGTATCATTTATAAATTCTAATGTAGGAAGTCTTCATCAAATGATATTTAAAAACAAGTCATCAGAGGCAAATCCAGTGAATGAAGCCAAATGCTAATTTTGATGAGAGTAATGAAAAGTTCTGTGAAAGTGTGAAAGCAGTTCCAAAAAGAAAGGTCCAAACAAACCTGTGTAGCATATGATCAATGATAATTCCTTTCATTTCCAATATGACCGTTCTTTGGGGGTTTGTTTGTTTGTTTTTGAGAGATTTTTGCTTTAGGGCACATATGCTTACTGGAGAGACAGAGACAGAAAGTGAGAAATCACCTCCCTGGGTGGATGACCACACCACAATCCCTTCTCCATTCTCTCAGGATCTTGGGTGCATGCACACATGCCCAGCATTAGTCTCAAGCCATTAGGTTCAGGACCAAACTCCAGTTGGCCACATGGAAGTCCATTGCCTTTATACACCACACCACATGCTGGCTCCCAAGATGACTGTTTTAAAGACAGCTGGACTTGATAAAACTTAATATACTTGATAAGAAAATAAGCTCTCCTTACTTGATAGAATATATGTGTGTAAAGAAAGATTTGGCTCAAAAATATGTACAGTTCTAGGATCCATAGATGTCATAATGGCTATGTCGCTGGACTCCCATGTAGTAGACCATGGTTCGAGTCCCAGACCCGGTGGCTTAAACTCTCGCTGGGCATGTGTGTGTATGCCCAAGATCCCTAAGTAGAATGGTGGTGGAGAAGGGGTTGCAGCATGGCCATCACCCCAAGGGTGATTTCTCGCTTTCTGTCTCTCTGTCTCTCTCTGTCTTTCTGGCAAGTGCATGCACCCTATAGCAAAAACCTCTCAAAAAAAAAAAAAAGTGCAGTTGTTACATGTCAGTTAAAAAAAAATGTGTGAGGACAGACAGAAATGCAGTCTGAGATAGGGTTTATACATTGAAGAAATCTGATCCAGGGGGACAAGAGCCATGCTCAGCTTATCCTACCTGACTCTTCCAAGATGACAAATACAACATAGAATCACCATCAAGAAACATTCCAAGGTGCTCATGACCCAGCAGCCACAGCCTGTGGTCTGAGAGTTCCTGATACTTCATGTCTCTTCTGCTGCCTGCTACCCTTGGAGACTCCCTACCCAAGCTCTTTAATCTCTGAGCTGGGAAACCTTTTTACCATCCTGATGGGTTCCAAAGAACCCAGTCTCTGTAGCTCCTTTGATCATGCTTGGGTGAGACACCATGGTAATATAACATTGTTCATAAGGGAACAAGCTTAATCTTTTTTTTTTTTTCCTATTTTGAATTTCTGTCAGGTTATTAAAGGTAAAATCATTTGAAAGAGCTCTTAAAATTTTTTTTGAGTAAAATAGGAAAAGTGAAATACTTGTGTAGTCTTACATTTGTCTCCAGTGAATATCATACTTTACTCTTGTGAAATTAGTTCTAGGAGCCATAGCAGACATAACTTGAAGCTTTAAAATAGTAATATGTTGGGGCCAGCAGGTTGCATGGTGGTTAAGGCACTGGACTCCACATGGCTGACTGTGGTTCAAATCCCAGACCTGGTGGCTTGAAAATTACACTGGGCACATGTGTGTTCGTGTCCAAAATCCTAGGAGGAGAAAGAAGGAGAAGAGATTGGGATGTGGTCATTCCTGCAGGGTGATTTCTCACCTCACCTTCCCTGTCACTGTCTCTGTCCCTACAGCAAAGCGTATACGTCCTATAAGAAAAACTTTAAAAGTGTGTGTGTGTGTAATAGAATTAGTATACTTCATATGTTGTGTGTGTGTTTGTTTTGTTTTGTTTTGTTTTTTGTCAGAGATGGGATCTCACTGCCCTCAAACTTACAATCATTCTGTCTTACCTTCCCAAGTAGCTGGGATGGCTGAATGTGTTGAGTTTAAGGAATAGATTTCCAAAGTACTTCATGTAGTGAATGTATGAGTTTAAAGTATTTTCTTTTAAAGAATTAATTTATTATTTCACTTTATGTGTTTATTTACTTATTTAAATTTGACCAGAGAGGGACACAGAAAGAAAGTGACAAAGCAAGCTGCCAGGTCTGGGACCTGAATTACTGTTGGCATTGTGGGAGTCCAGCGCCTTTAACCACTATGCCACCTGCTGGCCCCGAGTTTCAAGTATTTCTGATTAAATATATTTCTAATAGATTTGGAAAATAAACTTTTAACTTTCTAAAATGATTTTTTTAAATTACATGTTCAAGGGCTGGCAGACGGCATGATGTTTGAGGTGGTAGACTCCTACATGGCTGATCGTGGTTCACGTCCCATACCTGGCAGCTAGCCTTCTCACCTCCTCACTCTCCCCCTCTCTCTCTTTCTCTGGTCAAATTGAAGAATAGTAATAAATATTTTTTTTAATTATATGTTCAATAACACTGAAATTATCGAGACTAACATGGAGGGAGCCAGCAGGTGGCATGGTGGTTGAGGTGTTGGACTTCCATGTGACCAACCACATTTTGAGTCCCAGACTCAGGTTCCTGAAACTCAAGCTGGACGCATGTGTGTTTATGCACAAAATCCTGAGAGGAGAAGGAATTGTGGTGTGGCCATTATCCCTGGGGTATGATTACTCACTTTCTGTCTCTTTGTCTCTTGTCTCTCCGGTGAACGAACACATGTGCCCTAGGGAAAAATAACTATTAAAAAAAAATATGGGAATGCTAATAGCAGAGAATACCTTATAGCTATTAAAAGTAGCATTAGAGGGGACTGAGGGGTGTCACAGTGGTTAAGGCGCTGGACTCCCATATGATTGACCACAGTTTGAGTTCCAGATCTGGTGGCTTGTTTTCTCTCTCTCTCTCTCTGGTCAAATTGGAGGAGAATAATAACAAAATGTTAAATTCTCTTTTTTAATGAATTATTTATTTAATTTTTTATTATTTTAATTTGACCAGAGAGAGAGAAAGAACAAGAGGGAGAAAGTAAGAAAGCAAGCCACAAACTTGGGACTTGAAATGTGGTCAGCCATATAGGAGTCCAGCACCTTAATCACCACACCACCTGTTGGCCCTTTAAATAATTCTTTTTTTAAAAAGTAACATTAGAACCCCTCCTGTCCCAACTGCACTAGAGGCTGAGACAGGAGTGTAGAGAGTATAGTTAGAGGTTGTCCTGGGCCACAAAGCAAGATCTTGTCTTCTTAAAGAAACAAAAAGAATCTTACATGTTAAATGCTAAGCTCGGGAACCAGCAGTTAGCGTAATGGCTATGTCGCTGGACTCCCACGTAGTCGACCGCGGTTTGCATCCTGGACCCGGTGGCTCAAAACTCACACCAGGCGCGTATGCGTGCGTGCCCGCCCAAGATCCCGAGAGGAGAATGGAGGAGAAGGGATTGCGGCGTGACCGTCCCCCCAGTGATTTCTCGCTTTCTGTCTCTATGTCTCTCTCTGTCTGTCTGTAGTGCCCACACACCTTAAGCAAAAAAACCGCCCCAAAAAAAAAAAAAAAAAAAAAAAAAAGCTAAGCTGACTGCTTTTCCTGTTTTACATAACTTAATTCTCTCAAACTTCCTTTTTCCATGGGGTGATTTTAACCCATTTTGCAAATTGCTGGACTAGACTGAAATATGGCATCTTTATGTGAAATAAAGCTTCCAAAATCAGAAATATAAGTCATACACACAGACACACATACACAGTTGGCAACTGCTTTAACAGAAGTAGAAAGAGAACTTGTAGGAATAAAAATAAATTAATATTCTGTAGATTTTCTAATTTTTATTTTTTATTTTCTAGAGGGTGCATGTGCTCAGGTTAGAGAGAGAAAGTGAGATGCACGCACCATGGGGGATGGTCACACCACAGTCAATTTCTCATTTCAGGATTTTGGGCACACACGCACATAGCCAGGTGTGTTTTCCAAACCACCAGTTTTGGGACTCTCAACTGCACAGTTGGCCCTGTGGGATCCAGACACATTAACCAAAGACATCACCAGCTGGGCCTTTTTTTTTAAAATGGCTTATGATCACATTTTCTATTTCAATTAAGTTGCCAAGATTTTTTCCCTTACTTCTTACATCATTTTCTGATAATGTTAGTAAATCGTGCACATGTACAATTAAATTTTCTGCAAACAACCCTTTTTTTTTTTTTTTTGGGGGGGTTTTTGTTAAGGGGCGCATGGCCGCTCGCCAGAAAGACAGAGACAGACAGAAAGCTAGAAACCACCCCCTAGGGTGGATGGCCACGCCGCAATCCCTTCTGCTCAGTTCTCCTCTCAGGATCTTGGGCACGCACGCACACGCTCCCAGTATGAGTTTAAGCCACCGGGTCTGAGACTCCAATCGTGGTTGACTACATGGGAGTCCAGCAACATAGCCATTACACCAACTGCTGGTTCCAAACAAATCTTGAGTTTAGGATCATCCATATTAGCCAATAAATGTGAAGTAACAGGTGTAAGTGTAAAGTTTCTTTTTTAATTTACTAGAGGGTGCATGCACTCGCAGGCAGAGAGGAGGGGGTGAGAAAGCACCCCTCAGAGGAGATGGTTACACCACAATCCCTTCATTTGTCCCTCCTCTCAGGTTTTGGGCACACATGGCATATGCACCTAGCATGTTTTTCAAGCTTCTAGTTCTGAGACCTGGACCTCACAGTCAGCCATGTGCATGCAATCCAGCCCCTTTAACCACTACACCGTTGGCTAACCCTAAAGTGATTTCTAACAATATGATGTGTGTTGCAGAAATTAAAACCACACACTGTTCTGTTACTATCCACTGAGATAATAATAGTCATTACTCAGAACAGGTGTGGTCTGTTGCTCTCATCACTTGTCTAGAAATTTGGGCCCTGGGCCAGCAAGTGGCTGGTGCTTAAGGTATTGGGCAGTCCCACATGGCTGACCAGGTTCAAGTCCCAGACCTGGTAGCTTGCTTTCTCACTTTTCCTCTGTGTGTGTGTGTATCTGTCTGGTCAAATTAAAATGAATGAATGAATGAATAAAATTAAATAATTTTTAAAATTAAAAGTTTGGGCTCTGTTCCACTGTCAACTACCTCAAATCAGTTTCATTTTAGAGGTAAACTTGACAGCATGCAGGGTTTCTGGAACCTACCATTTTGGATTTCTGAGAGTATAAAACAAATAAAAACAAAAACAAAAAAAGTGCCTTGCCCAGCATCTTCTGCTTATTGCATGGTTTTATTTCATTCTCCTTTACATTGCTACCTTAACAGTCCTTCCAGCTACGTATCTTAAAAGATGTGATGGAGAAGTTATCAGCTGGTGTTTTCAGGTAAGCTACAGTAACCAAAGCATTCTCTTTTTTTTCATTTTCACGGTGATAAGGTGGGCATTTCTACTTTTGTTTCAGCTTTCACAGTATACTTATTGCCTTCATAGTTCATATGAGGCCTTCAAATAATTTGTGGGAAATGCACATTATCAAAAAACTACGCATGGATTTCAATATTTTTGTATATATTTTAATTCCATCTTCCACAAACTTCCTGAAGCACCCTTGTATTATTTCATTTAGGTAAATAGCTACTCTTTAATATTTCTCAAAGTGCTGGTGGTACAGCAGTAAAGTATTCCCAGAAAAGGAAGTGGCTTGTGAGTTTTCCTGACTCCAGTCCATACTGTACTTCACTTTTTGCCCTTCCTCATCACTCCTCCCAACACAATTTGAAATATTCTATACGGGGGCCAGCAGGTGGTGTGGCAGTTAAGGCGCTGGATCCCACATGGCTGACTCCATGGTTCGAGTCCTGGACCTGGCAGTTTGAAAAACACTCCTGGTGTGTGTACATGCCCAAAATCCTGAGAGGAGAATGGAGGAAAAAGGATTGTGGCATGGCTGCAGTCACTCCCCACCTGGGTGATGATTTCTCTCTCTGTCTCCAGTGAATGGCAAAAATTTAAAGAAATAAATAGAGGGAAAAATACATTATATTGTTTTTTCAATTGGATCTATGTGTAACTTATTAAAGAGGAAATGGATAAGGCTGGTACATTTTCCCTTCAAAACTTAATCACTTTTTTCTTTAAGCGTTTGCTATAGGGCACATGCATGCCACAAAGACAGAGACTGGAAAATCACCCCTATGGGGAATGGTCACACCAAATCCCTTCTCCTACTTCCTCAGGAACTTTCATGATTTTGAGCATGCACACACATGCATCCAGCCTGTTTTTCAAGCTGCCAGATCTAAGATTCAAACGGTGCAGGTGTAATCCCGGCATATGGCCCAAAAACTTAGCCCCCCTTTTTTTTTGTAGTGTGGAGATTTTTGCTTTAGGACATGTGCACTCACCAGAGACACAGAGACAGTGAGAGGGAAAGTGAGAAATCACCCCCAGGGGGGATGGTTATGCCACAGTCCCTTCTCCATTCTTCTCCCAGGATTTTGGGCAGGCACACACATACATGCAGCCCACGTGATTTTCAAGCCACTGGGTCCAGGATTCGAACCGCAGTTAGCCATGTGGGAGGACAGTGGTTTATTTGCTACGCTGCACTTTTTTTTCTTTTTTAATTTGACCAGAGAGAGACACAGAGAGAGAGAGAGACGGAAAGTGAGAAAGCAAACCACCAGGTTCAGGGCTCGAACCATGGTCAGCCTTGTGGAAGTGTCCAGTGTCCTAACCACTATACCACCTGCTGGCCCCTCTATGCTGTAGTTTCAACTATGAAAATACTAATGGACAAGTTTATTGTAATTATTTAAAGGAACTGAATTGGGCAATAGCAATTATCAAGTCACCATCCTATATGTTGTACTCTTCTTCAACTGGACCTGACATTTCTCATAATTTCATTCTTTCTCAGACCTCAGCTGGATGAACCCATTCCACTATATGAGGCAAAAGTTTCCATGGAAGTTGTTCAGAAAAATCAAGCAAGAAAAAAGCAAGTTGTTCAATTTTAATTTTCTTTTCTCAGACCTCAGTTGGATGATCCCATTCCAGTCTTCTTTGGAAAATGTTGCGAAAAATTAAGGAAGATAAAGCAAGTTGGTCTGTTTTTAAGCATGTTTTCCTACAAGACAAGATGCTCACTTACTTGAAAAGTTATCATGCAATCAAGATAATTCTGTAATTAACATCTGAAAGGAAAAAAGCCTTCTTAGTTACTGTTTCTATATATTTTGCCTCTGCTATAAAGTTCTTTCCATGAAGAAAAATGTTGCTTTCAGCAGAAGCCACACTACTCCACATTACCCTATTGATAAAGTTGTTACAGACCTTTGCTATACCTGTCAAAATAAGGTTATGTTCTATGAAATGCATTCGCAGTATCTTCCTTTCTTAACAAGTCTTTGCTGTCATAATGTAGATATTTGAGTTCATTTTCAAGTCTCAAAGTATCTAGTCCATAGGTACTTAAATTTTGTGTTTTCAAGTATTTACTCCACGTTTCCATAGGATCAAACAAGAGGATTACAATAACTTGCCAGTGGCTGCAGGGTTTGCTTGGAGGGCTAGGCTGGACAGGCACTGGGAAGGGGGACTGAAGGGCCTGCTGATTTCCTATTTTTTAGTTGGGGGTTAGTAGGAAAAGCCACTCTCACCTCTTGATGTCGCCATCGCCCTCAGTACATTAATCAAGCAACCGCCCATAAAGTATGTTTTCCTTTTATCCAGGCGCCCTTCCCCAGGCCGATTACATCCTGCTGCGGACTTAAGTAGCGTTCAACTACTTCGATGCCCAAAAGGGTAGGGTACACCGCTGCCCTGGACTCCGTGCTTCCCAACGTCACCTCACCTGGCGACTGGACTACAGCGGAAGACTGGGTTAGAGAGCCTGAGCGGCACCTTGGCAGCACTGGGCCAGGGGTAGCGGTAGCGACCCAGGATAGCAGTCCCCGGCAGAGGCTCGCTGTCGGCCCATTGCGCACGCGCCGATGTCGCCTCGGGGGTGGGGCCACGTCCGGGGCGGGGCTTCAGGGTGGCCTCCCGTCCGCAC